ACATTCTGCACTTCATTTTAGATTTCCCAAATTTTCTCCAGTTGTTGAAGTTTCGACTGTTTTTCTCGTTTCAATCCAATTCTAGCAACATCCTCCTCAATATCGTGATAACTAATATATAATTTTCATTATTGATACTCAAAAGCTACTGGTCTTATCTAGTATCACGTATTTCACTCCTCTTGACATGCTTCACTCTATTTGTCAATGTGTATTAGCGATGTTTAAGACAGAGAGTAAGTGAATGTTGTTAATTTTAATCTGTTGGGTGAATTTTCTGATAGATTTAATTTGTTTCCTTTTCATTTTCTTCTCACATAAAATAATTCTGCTTCATATTTCGGTATTTTGTTAGTTACTTAAAATTCCACACTGCCACAATGGCAGTATTAATTTTTTGAGCCTAATGCTTCTTACCAATCGATATGAATCGTAAATAAGCAGAATCATATTGTTTGTGATGTGCTTCCTTGGTAACATAAAGGAAAGCTATTCCCTGTCTTGTTGGCGCCTTTCGTATGGAAAAGTTCATATAATCAATCTTAATGTCCACGTCTTTACTACGAATATCGGAGTTTTAGAATCGCCGCTCGTGTTCTTAAATTAATTGATCACTAATCCATTACCGGTGTATAACTCAAATAAGTTAAACTATTGTTGTGAGTCATGTTGAAAGAGATGTCCTATTGAAACAAAAATTTACAACAGGTATTGACATTAATGTTTTAGTTTTTAGTTTCATTTCGGACTTATTTGTGTGACTTTGTTGTGAAACTGTTTTCCATCCATGGAAGAAGAATATAAATATTAAAAATAAAATCTGAAATATTCATCTCTCCCAACTACTTACCCCGTAGGTTATGGTAAATGCCTTTCGGAAAACAACTACTTCCCTGGCTAATACCATACTGGATATTGAATTATAACCGACATACATATAAGATACCTTTAAGAGGTTATTCTCGCGAAGTGTCTGGGAATCGATGAATTTCAACGCGGCTAGACTGCATGTATGAAACCGTCGTTAACTAGTTACAGCTGTTCCTGGTTCCCATATACCAATAGTCAAACAGAGTTCAAAACTTGTCTTAAAACTGAATTGAGGAGAGATACATACGTATAAGAAAATAAATATTTCGAACTTAAATCTCGAAATATTTATCTCTTCCAACAATGAGATATGTGAACTGGTTCTCATTGCTTGTTACCAATTCCAGCATATGTTAGGAAATCGTCTGATTAAGTCTAGCATAGAAGAATATTTCCCAAAAATCTTCTCAAGGATGGCTATGTTTCTCTAAAGTCAATTTTTCTGGCATGCTTTGGCAAAATTTAATTAATATTTTTGATATAATTTCACACCAAGAAATTAAATGTCGATGGTAAAGGGATGTGATTTGAAGCATACAATTTTTGATTTGATATCAACAATCTTCTGAAACTCATGAATGATGAAATTTATCTTTTCAGAAGAAGATTTTGGAAGAGTGAGCACTGCATTTTTTTGAAAAGTAATTTGACTGAGGTAGTAGAGGATTCAGTATTCGAAAAAAATCTCAATTTCTTTATAGGAAATCTCATTTTATAAGGTTTATAAGGTTCTATAATATAACTGAATAGAACTGGCCGATACTTGATGAAAATCAATACTAAAACTCATTAATACAGTTTATTGTTTGATTTCCACTATAAAAGGTTTTACAAAAACCGCGACACGTGTTTTGCTATACAATAGCTTTCTCAAACGCTTGAGCTTTCTCAAACTAGGTTAACAGTTTTTTCAATTATTCTCATACCACGTTATCAAACTATAGTCTTCCAAATGAATTGAAAGGGTTGATCTTTTGATTTGTCTCGAATCAATTTTGTTCTCGAAATTTTTGTTGAAGATGTTCAGTACTGAAAATAACATATTTCTTACTATATTTCAATCAACCCCATATTTTCAAAAAGAACTTATCAAAGATAAACCACTTATTCAAATAAAAATATAGTAACTAAATGGTGAAGGCTTTCGCGGCCAAGGTTTTCAGTATTACTAATTTTTTACTTGTGATGCACTGTTTGGAACCTTTGGTGTTAGGGCTAGGTTAGGTCCAAAGTGAGTGGGTCTATTCGAACCTCCACCGCAACCTCTGTTGTAGTAACTGATATTACTGGAGTTTTATCCCAACACCAAACCATTATTTTAACACCTCGACAAGTGTTTTGATCATCAAGTGATCATCTCCAAGAAAAATATTAATCTCTCTTTCTCTTGAAGATGATCACTTGGTAATCGAAACACGTGTCGAGGTATAAAAATAACGATTTGGTGTTGGGGTAAAACTCCAGTAATATTCATTAAATGTTTCATAATAAAAATTTTTTGGTAGAATTCAAAAAGGGTTTGGTCTATAGAAGAGGTGGAGTTTCTGAAGCCTTGCAGCAGCGTTAGCGACTCTCATCCCACTCAGTGTGGAGCCTTCAAGTTACCAAGCGCCCTCTCGTCGTAGAAAGCCATATCACGATAATGAGGAATACTACCGTGATAGACCTCCTTTTCCTAGCTACTCATGAGACCCTTTGTGGACCATGAAGTAATCAAAGAATCAGACCTTCAGTCTACAGAGGGGATGAACAACGACTGAATGACCTCAACTATTCTATCTGTAACATCGGATCACCAGCAAGAGCTTCTCATTTCTTGATCCTGTTAACAAATCTAGGAGATTAGGTGATTCAGCCAGGAAATGACTTATTCCGGGTTGGAAGGACGTGGATTTTTGGAATGTCTTCCTGACTCACTGGCGCGAGTGGCTAGCTTCTTCAGAGGTTTATACATCCTGAGTGTTTCTCAGATGACTGGATATTACGGCTGCGTAAAGCGTATTCATGTTGACTCAGGTAGTTGGGTGTGCTAATACTTGTACCTGGATTGAGTAAATTGTCAATAATATCCGTCGACCCTTTTCTAGCTGCCGTCATGCTGTTTGCTATTCTTGTACTTCTTAGAATGGGATTCTATATTCGGTTGAGGTTCACAGCTTTTCATTTTCTATTGAAATTTTCCTTGTGTTTGTGAATATTCCTCCTGTACCAATCGGCTATGGTATCCCTGACCATTCAAACAGAATCCTATGGTTTCGTTCACTGAGTGGGTGATATGTCACAATCGACTTGTCCGTTTGTCCTAGCCTTTAGTTTCTTTCACTCTCCTTCAGCCTTGTTCCCATGGATCTTCTGATGGTTCCGATGTACACCTTCCCACAAGTGCACGGTATGCGATATACCCCTGCTGTTCATAGTGGGTCTTTTTTGCTTAAACCTATCTGAGACTTCGTTGTATCTTCTTGGTGAGTTTGAAAAACGTTCAAATGTTCTGTTTACCCAGAAGATTTCCAATTCTGTCTGCGGGATATATGGTAGATACCTACGTACAACCATCTGAGCCTCTTTCCCATTTCGAACCGTTTCATGGCCTTGTTGGTCTCGAGTACACATTCCATCTCAAGGTTACTTGAAGACATTCCATTTCTTCCTCTGGATGCTCCACAGGATATTGTTTGAAAATACGAAACTCATTACCCCCCCAACCAGGGATACCATAGCCGATTGGTACGGGAGGCAATAGAGATCCACGAACATACGGGTAATTTCAACACAAGAGAGGAAGCTGTGAATCTCAACCGAATATCGAATCCCATTTCAACAAGTTCAAGAATAGCAAACAGCATGACGGGAGGCAGAAAAAGGTTGAAGAATGACAACTATTCAGGTACAGTTATAGAATGTTCACGTTAAGAAGAGAATAATGTCATTTTTGGTTATGTTGTATATCCAACATAACAACGTTAAAATTCCCACTGAAATGCGTTCAACAGCAATGAAACTAGTAAAATTTCATTTTGTAAGTTGCTCAACTGATAGTAAAATTTCAGACGTTGCCGTATCGAAAAAAAATTGAAAAATGTCAGTCTTTCTTTTCTTTTCAGAACTAATCATTTCTTTTGATGAGACCTACGTATATTCAATATGCCTAAAGCATTGTCGAAATAGTCCCAACAAATACCTACTGAAAGTAAGTAAGGATAATAGCAATAAAACATATCAACAGTACAACAAAATTTGAAAGTTCGAAATAGTGCACATGTAGGCAACGCCGTAACTTGTCATCTTGTGACGTCATTCTCTTCTTAACGTGAACAACCTATATTAGTACACCAAACAACATAAATACGCTTTATGCAGCCGTGATATCTAGTCATCGGAGAAAAAGATCAGGATGTATAAGCCTCTGAAGAAGCTAGCTACTCCCGGCAGCGAAACGTCAGAAAAAAATTCCGAATATCGATGGCCTTCAGATCCGAAAAAAGTGATATTGAAAGTATATAGTATTTTATCTGGAAAAATCGAAAATAAATCATTTCCATCTCATAATTCATTCAGTATTAGGAGAAATATCGTGGCCAAATTATTATTCAATAATGAAAAAACTGCAGTTCCAGAATATCTCCGTAACAAAGCCGAATCTACGAATGAGTTTTCATTGAAAACGAAAATCATTGGATAGGTCAGCTTCTGTACGTTATTTTCAACATTCCTTCTGAACCGTGTGGTATAAACACTAGAATCTTATATTTTTCAGAATCAGTTTTTGGCGAAATACGAATATGGGAAGCAATATATCTCATTCCATTAAAAAAGCCAACTTCGATACGTACGCTTTCATTAGATAGGTACCCTGAATATTTGTGTATATTTCAATAAAGTCCGATTTATCGATATTCAAAACTTTTATTTAAAACACGTTTCGACAACTTCACTCCGTCATCTTATATTTGTAATGAGAGCTCGACATGACTCACACTATATTTTATTTTCGTTCTCACTTGGTTTACTATTTATTCAGAATACATTTCAGAATGTCATTTGCAGACCTCCATCCTGAGAGAAATCCAATAAATACTCCAAGCGCCCAACCAATTTGACCTGCCCTAATGACAAGTTTAATTTCACAGGAAAATGGAATACGGCCTCATTTCCGGCCCTAAATTCGATGAAGTCATTAAACATCTGCGGAACAGTTTTCCTGATGAACCATTGAACGCATCGGTTGGCTTGAGTGTCCGTGGGAAACCTTGTGAACTCTTGGAAAAGTATGACCTTCACACTTTGGAAGAGGGGATGTCTTTAATGGCTATGGATGCAAAGACAAAAGAGGTAAGTGAAGTTATATTTTCATTCACTGAATATCTGAAAACGACAATTAACTATCTGATACCATCAAAACCAACGGCAAACAAAAATGACTTGGAGCATTTCTTAATCAGCCAATGTTTTTACACAGTTCAAGAATACCTTCAGGCAGATATTGTTATATGACTTATTTTGTGCGTCATCGGTCTCATTATGATATTGGAAATTCGTTTCTTTTTTTACAATCATTTATCACCACCCCATATTACTTTGGAATTTCAATATTTAATTTTTTTAAAAGACAAAACACAAGCACAACAGGAAATTCTTCAAGGCGCTCTCAGAGCGGTGCCTGTGCGAAAGTAGCGATTCACAATACAAGCACAACAAGAAAATCTTCAAGGCGCTCTCAGAGCGGTGCCTGTGCGAAAGTGGAGATTGAAACCATTATTTGGAAAAACGTTCTCGAGGAGTTTATTCCAGATAAATACAGTCAATCAGATGAAAGAGTTGTTGAACAGTGTAGTTCGAGGTGTACTGAGTTGAACCTCGAAACAATGAGCAGCCACAGTCCGTCGCGTATTTCTGATATAAGCTGCTCTTGGTGAAATCAAATGTGCCAAGTCACTTGAACACTTCCCGTGAAAGTATCTGTATACAGGGTATTCCATATTCGATTGTCTATTAGACGTATCTAGAGAACAAAAGAAGATAAGACTTTGAAATTTTGGTTACCAGTGTAGGTGACTGTGATCTATCATTCGAAAATATTTTCATCACCGCATTGTTGCCATATCTACATGTAATAGACATCAACTTGGAAATTTCAAATGGAACACCCTATATATTATATCATTTTTGAATTCTGCATCGAAATCCAAATTACTTTTTTTGAACATGTTCTATACCTATCTCTCACCGTTTTTAAAATATTAATTATTTTGTAATTTTTTTCGGCGAAAACATGGTATTTTTGATATTTAATATCGCATGAATTGATCGATACATCAAACTCAAATTCTGGAAACTTTGAGATAAGGTATGGTGGTTATTATTTTGGAACGAAATTCGAATCTTATTTCATACAGAGTGTCTAAAAATACGTCACAATTTATATCTTTGATAAACGCCCATAACTATTTTTTTCAAATGGAACACCCTGTATATTATTCAAGTTTTGAATTCAGCCAACCGATGTGAACAACTTTGATCGACTATGTCCTATACCTATTTCTGACCGTTTATGAGATATGAACTATCTTTAAAAAAATTGCTCCTATGCAAGCATAAAATTTGCAATAAAATCAAATCTCATTTTCATACAGAGTGTCTAAAAATACGTCACAATTTATATCTTTGATAAACGACCATAAATATTTTTTTCAAATGGAACACCCTGTATATTATTCAAGTTTTGAATTCAGCCAACCGATGTGAATAACTTTGATCGACTATGTCCTATACCTATTTCTGACGGTTTATGAGATATGAACTATCTTTAAAAAAATTGCTCCTATGCAAGCATAAAATTTGCAATAAAATCAAAAGTTTATTTGAAAGTGAATACCATAG